GATGAAAAAACCAGATTAGAATCAGCAGCACTTCCCACCCCTGCAGTGCCACCACTCTTCCTTCTGAGCTCCTTCCCCGTTTATCTTTTCTGTACTTCTCTCATTTTGGTGTTTTTGGTATCTTAGCTCTGGCTCTCCCTAGGCCACCCTGCACGTAATACAATCTGTGTAGTCACCACTGACAGATTCTTGTAGAAATGTTCATGTGAAGAGAGGGGAGCTGAGTTCCTTCTCAGGGTTCAGGCTGCCACTTTATTGTCTTTTCTGTTGGCTCTTGATTGGTTTTCTGGTAATGAATCATTACAAAGTTTGTGGCTTAAAAACAACAGAAATGAGTTATTTCACAGTTCTGAAGGCTGAAAGTCTTGAATCAGGGTGTAGGTAGGGTTTGTTCCTTCTGGTGGCTCTGAGGCAGAAACTGTCCCAGGCCCCTCTTTTCACCACCGGTGATTGCTGGCACCCCTTGGTGTTCCTTGGTGTATGATGCATCACTTGAGTCTCTCCCTCTCTCTTTACAGGGCATTCTCTTTGTCTCCAATATGACCTTATTGGATTTAAGGCCTGCTATACTACAGTATAACTATAGTATAGTATAAGACCCTATTTCCAAGCATGGTCACATTCTAAGGTCCTGAGTGGACGTGAATTTTGGGAGTATATTTTCCAGTCTAGTACAGCCCCATATATATATATTTACATGGCCTAGGATCTTCTAGATTTTCTAACAGTTTTTCCCCATTAGCTTTGTTTTGATGGCCAGGAATAGTTGAATGTCATTTGCCAAGTGGGTATTTGACTAAGTAGTCCTTTCAGATCATGCATATAGTAAATGTAAACTTGTTCTAGAATTATCCATCCTTGTTCATGTCATTTATCCCAGCCATCATTGCTTGCTTGCCAGCTTCCTATCCATAACAAAGTATCTCTAATCCTACTGTGACTCAATTTTGTATTAGGCTTCAGTGAGGAATCCTTTCAGAATGTCATTAAAATGGTATCTACTGACACCCCTTTGCAGACAAGGGACAATATAAAAGGTAGAAGATATTCCTGCTCTCCTAGAGCTCATGAATGAGGAAAATGGACCAGGGAAGTGAACTGACAACCCCAGGTGACAGCAGAGGGATAGATGACTCCAACACATTTTGAGTACTCCCTATCTGCCAGGCACTACATATTACCTCATTTAATTTTCACAGCAACTCTATATTCCCATTTGACAGTTGAAAATTGAGATTTGGAGAGACAGAACCACATCCCAAGGTCAAAGTTAATAAATGGTGGTGCTGGCATTCAGATCCAGCTAGCCTCGTTCCAGAACCCATGCTTTTAACCACTCCACTTTGCAGAGTTTGTGTTCTTTGTACCATCCCTGGCTACATAAAAATGGCTTGACAACCTCAAGAAAAGTTGATTTAGGTTAAAAGATTCAGGGGTACCCCTCTGAGTAATCACACTTAATAGAGACAATACGGATCATCCCACACAGGATGCCCTTTGGCTCATCTCAGGATTTACCTGTGTATCCCAGCGAGCACCTTCCATGAAGAGGCCATGGATGTAAGCCCCTTCCCGAGGAGGGCTCCTGACTTCCTCTCTATTCTTCTTTGTCACATCACATTGCAGGGCCATCTGGTCTAGTGGCCACTCATTCTTGCGGGCCATGGACTGCATGATGGCGGTCAGGAAGGACTGGGGGTTGAAGAAGCCTGTCAGCCACACAGTGGAGGGCATCACAAAGTCTCCTGTCCAAGCCTCCAGTTCCTTGATTCGGTTGAGGAGGCCCAAAAACCAGGCTGCCAGGCCTGCTGTGGAAGGGTAGGCTCGCCTGGCCCAGGGCTCTGGCACTGTGTCCAGGTACAGGGCGTTCTGTAAATTCTCCATGTCACCAGTCATAGTCAGCTCCCCCTGAAGACAGAGAGCAAGAGGGAGAGAGTGAGGGGGCAGCAAGTCCCCAGAAACAGTTGGCCTTGGGGACCTCTGGCTCACAGCATGCAGGCAGACAGGAGATGACTCTAGAAGTGGTGACACGGTGACTTTCATGTTTAGTACTTGATTTGAAAGGTTTGTTTCATAAAGGCTAGTCCTTTAAAACTCCCCCTGCCCTAGTGATCAGAGTCTCCATCTATCTACTGACAGTAGTTAAGGTCCACTGAGGACCTCAGACCACCTGTGGGTTCCACGCTGGCTCATCCCTATCCTGGAGCTGAAGTTCCACAACTCTCCGCCAGACTTTGCAGCAGCCCTGCAGGCTTTTGCTTACAGCTTAGAAGCACAAGAAATCGATGCCTATGAGATCTGTATCCCCCAAATCAAGGGTTTCCTTGAAAAATCAAGCTTAGATACATAGTCAACTTTAAGGAACCCTCTTTGAATTACTAGATGACATTGCTACATGAAAGAAAGGTGTTCACCAAGAAGCATCTTTAAACTTTGTAACTGGTTATGCCAAGCATCTCTGGCAATTTGTTGATGAACCCATTTCTATTGCAGCAGTTTCTGCACAGGGCTTAAGGTACCCAACAAGACCTGTTATGAACTAAGTGTTTGCATTCTTCTCCCCACCGCCCAATTCATATGTTGAAATCCTAACCCCCTAAGTGTGATAGAATTAAGAGGTGGGGCTTCTGGGAGGTGCTTAGATCATGAGGTGGAACTCTTGTGAATGAGATTAGTGGCCTTACAAAGAGACTCCAGAGAGCTCCCTTGGTCGGCCTTGTGAAGGCACAGTAAGAAGATGGCCATCTATGATCCAGGAAGTGGGCTCTCACCACACCATAACCGCTGCCAGTGCCTTGATCCTGTACTTCCTAGCCTCCAGAGCTGTGAGAAATACATTTCTACTGTTAATAAGCCACCCAGTCTGTGTTATTTTGTTATAGCAGCCCAGATAGACTAAGACAGCTTGGCCACCCATTAAGTGCTGACTGCCAAAACGTGAGAGGTGTTCCTGGGGCCAGGAGTCTCCTTGCCTGTGGGATGGGAGACTGCACCATGTAATTCTAGGTCCAACATTTTCTCTTAACTCTTGGAACTGTTAAAGAGAGTTGCACATGTCCTTTAAAAGATGAACATACTTCAGGTCCTAAATGACAGCTAGAAACTAACCCTCTGACCCCAGATTTATAGGAAATGGGCTAATGACTTCTATATGAACTTTCTGGGACAGCCATTTCAAGATTCAGTAGGAGGTACAAGTATCCTGTATCTGCCGCCAAGGTTTATCATTTTAACAACACCAAAATTAGGTGAACAGAAGCTGCTTCTGGTAGACTTCCTTAAGGGTCTGCTGAAATGAATGCTGTTATTGGGTTAAAATAGAAAAACTGTTCTGTTTATTTGGAACCTCCACTTCCGAGGAGGCTTCTGAAAAGAGGCTATAAAATAATATTTGTGTATTTGAGCTGAAATCAAGCTTCTGAGACAATATGGTCTTCCTCATGCCTGCAGTTGTGTGAAAATTCATTATTATATGCAATTTGTCACTTATATAATAAAGCTTCCCTAAAAATAGCTGATTTAATAAAATAATATTAAATATAAAGATCCAATTTATTGTAAAGGAAAAAAATTGATCCACAAACCTTTTCTTTTCTGAGGCCCCATCTATGTATCTTTTTCTTGACTTACTGCATTATCTAGGATCTTATTAACAATGATGAATAAAAGTGCTAAGGGTGGAAATCCTTGCCTAGTTTCTAAACTTAGAGGGAAAACATTGTCTTTCACCATTAAATATGATGTTAAATTTTTCTTAGATGCCCTTTATTAGGTTGAGGAAAATCCCTTTTATTCTTATTTTTCTGATATTTTAAAATCAAGAATTAGTGTTAAATTTGTCACGTGATTTTTTTTTTGCATTTACACAGATCATATGATTTTCTTATTTAATTCATTAATATAGTGAACTTCATTGATTTTTGAATGTTCAAACCAACTTTGCATTCCTGGGATGAGCCCTATGCGACTGTGTATCTTATATTTCATGATTTGATTTACTAACATCTGGTAAGGATTTCTGCATCTGTTTATTTATAAGAACTGTTTACCTCTTTCTCATAATGTCTTTGGCGTTCGTATGAAGTTAATTCTGGCCTCATAAAATTTGTTGAAAAGCATTCCCTCTGCTTTCTATTTAAATTAAACTTTATTTTGAGATAACTATAGACACACATGCACTTTTAGAAATACGAGCTCTTGTGTACCCTTTACTCAGTTTCCCCCAATGGTAACAGTTTTCAAAACTGTAGTATAATATCACAGACAGTATACCGATATTGGTACAGTCAAGATACAGAACATTTCCATCACTACAAAGACCCCTTATGTTGCCCGTTTTATAGCCACACCCACTTCCCTTCTGTCCCCACTCTTTCCCTAACCTCTAGTAACCACTGACTGTAAGCTTGTCATTTGAGGAATGTTATATACATGGAATAATTTATAAAACGTTTAACCTTCTAGGATTAGCTTTACATTCTGCATACCTCTCTGGACGTTCATCCAGGGTTTTGCATGTACTGAATAGTTCATTCCTCTTTATTGCTGAATAGTGGTCCATGATATGTGTGGTAGGCAGAATAATAACCCCTCCAGAGATAGCTATACCCTTATCCCTAGAACTTGTGACCTTGCAAGACCAAAGGGATTTTGTAGCTGTGATTAAGTTGGGAGTTTAAAATAGGATGATTATCCTAGGTTATCAGGTTGGCCTAATATAATCACAAAGATCCTTAGAGGAGAGAGGTAGGCAGGAGGATCAGAGTCAAAGAGAGACTGCTGCACTGCTACTCTTAAAGATGGAGAAAAGGGCCATGAGTCAAGAAATATAGCAGCCTCTAGAAGCTGGGAAAGGCAAGCCAATGGACACTTCCCCAGGGCCTGCAGAATAAATACAACTCTGCCCAGATCTTGATTTTAGCCACCACATGAGACCCACTTCAGATTTCTGACCTCCAAAACTGTCAGATAAATCATTTTAAGCTATCAGGTTTATAGTAACTTATTACAGCAACAGTAGGAAATTAATAATAGAATATAGATGTACCACAGTTTAACCATGCACTGGTTGAAGGCCATCTGGGTTGTTTCTAGGGGGTTTGGCTATTATGAATAAAACTGCTGTAAACATTTGTGTACGGATTTTTATGTGAAAATAAGTTTTCATTTTACTGGGATAAAGGCCCAGAAGTGTAACTGATAGGTTGTATGTAGTTGCATGTTTAGTTTTTAAAGAAACTGCCTGTTTTCCAGACTGACAGTACCATTTTACATTCTCACCCGCAATGTGTGAGTGACCCATTTCATTCATATCCTTGCCAGCATTTGAAGTTGTCGTTATTTTTTTAGTTATTATGATTGGTGTGCAGTGGTATCTTGTGATTTTATTTTTCATTTCCTGATGGCCAATTATGATGACTATTTTTCATGTACTTATTTTCCAACTGTATATTCTCTTCAGTGAAATGTCTTCATATCTTTTGCCTATTTTCTAATTTTTTTCAAACCACTGACTATTAAGAATTAGTTATATATTCTATATGTTAGTGTTTTTTTCAGATATACGGTTTGTAAATACTTTTCCCCAGTCTATAGCTTGTCTTTTCATTCTTTTAAAGGGTTCTTTTGTAGAGCAAAGATTTTAAATTTTGATGAATTCCAATTTATCAGTTTTTCATTTTATGGCTTGTGTTTTTGATGTCAAATCTCAGTTTGCCTATTTTCCTATCCCTGAGCTTGAATATTTTCTTCTGCTTTTTTTTCTAGAAGATTTCTAGTTGTAAGTTTTACACTTAAGTTCTTTGTCTATTTTGAGTTAATTATTTTTAAGATGTGATATTTAGCTTGAGGTTCATATTTTTGCCTATTGTGTCAAATTTTTCTAGCACTGTTTGTTTAAAAGTCTTTCTCTCCAATGAGTTGCTTTTGCATCTTTTTCAGAAATCAGGATATTTGGGAAGGTTTATCTACAGCTTCTTTGTTTTGTGTGTCTGTCCGTCCACCGATGCCACGCAGTCTTGATTATGTAACTATATGATAAATTATAAAATTAGGTAAACTGCTTCCTCCCGCTTTAGTCTTCTTTTTCAAAATTATTTTCACTCTTCCAGTTCTTTTGCTTTGTCACATACATTTTAGAATAATAATCTCTGTCATATCTACAAAAGATTCTTGCTGGGATTTTGATGGGAACTGCATTAAACTGTATCAATTTGCATAGAATTGACACACTATGTTGAGTCTTATAATCCATTGACACAGTAGGGTTCTCCACTTATTTATATATTCTTTAATTTTTTTCAGTGTTTTGTAATTTTCAGATACAAGTCCTGTACATGTTTTGTTAGATTTGCACTTAGTTAATTCATTTTTTGAGCAGTTATAAATGGCACTATATTTTTAATTTTGGCGTCCATGTTTTTATTGCTTATATGTAGAAATATGATTAATTTTTGTGTTTATCTTGTATCCTGATGCCTTCCTAATTTACTTATTAGTTCTAGGAGTGCTTTTGTAGACTTCTTTTGATTTTCTATGTAGCAACCATGTTATCTGCAAATAGGGACAATTTTATTTCTTCCTTTCCCATCTGGATATATTTTATTCCCTTTTTTCCCCTATTGTACTAGCTACAACTTCTAGCACTATGTTGAATAAGACTGGTGAGAGTAGACATCCTTGCTTTATTCTTGATCTTAGGGGAAGAACATTTAACCATTTGCTATTAAGTATAATGTTAGCTATAGTATAATATATATAGTATAATTATATATATGTAATATATATAATTATGTGTTGCATAATTAATATAACATATATGATAATGTAATTGAGGATGCTTGTTACTGAGTTGAGAATGTCTTCCTCAATTCCTGTTTTTCTGAGAGTTTTGTCATGAATGGGTGTTG